TTCTGTTTTAATGTTTATTGTATAATTTATTAATACTACACAAGGCGAAGGAAAATTAGAATTGTAACTTTTTTATTTATATTTTTTAACATTTGTACGCCTAAACATGACGTTCGAGATATTTTCTTTTAACATCTTGCATGCATATGTATGTATACTCATGTTTGAACAAATAAAATGATCTTTATCTTTATCTTTATCTTTCACTATTTGAATTTATTAAACCTGTAAACGATAACTCTAAAGCGAATGATGACTTACAGAAAGCTAGTATTTTATTAAGTAATCTTTTGAATAGATTGAGCGAAATAAGAAATTTAAATTCACTCAATGGTTTGCTAAATGAGTCCAGAGATTTGGCAAATAAGTGGGGGATAACAACTGTTTTCAAAAATAAAAGGCGAAAGATAACGAAGCGTTTTTTTGGTGAGTTATCACAAGATGAGAGAATTTCAGACCCGGAATCATATTTCAAAGTCTATGTATACTACTCCTGTTTAGATACATTAATTTCTGAAACTAAAGAAGATTTCAGAGCTTTTATCACCAGAGTAATATGTTCCAAGTATTACAACCGGAAAAACTCTTATCTTCTTCAAACGAAGTGATAAAAAACGCTTCCGGAAAACTGTCGGCTAAATACAATAGAGACATCTTAGTTAATCTTTATGAACAATTAATTGCTCTGAAGACATGCCTAAAATCTAAAATTCAAAAAATTTATTCCATTAAGGAACTCATAAAATTATTATTGATAAAATTCAACAGCCTTGCATCCAGTTTTCCGGAGGTAATAACAACATGCTTTCTATTCTTGACCGTTTCAGTTACAACCGCAACAGTTGAAAGAAGTTTTTCAAAGTTAAAACTGATAAAAAATTACCTAGGACTTCGATGGGGCAGGAACGGTTTTCAGACTTATCACTATTGTCTATAGAGGCAGAAATTTTAGATAAACTGTAATCGTCTGCAGCTATAGATGGTTTAATAAATCAATTTGCCGAAAAACAGGCAAGAAAAGTGCATATTTAATTTGAATTGTTTGACTAGCTCAATTTCTATGAGGAAGCGGTAACTTATAATAAATATTTATTTTAATTTAATGCAAGCAGTTTTGTTTCTTTTGTGAGAAATCTTCTCCCTTCTTTTGGGCCCCCGAACTAATTTTGATACAGGGCCCCTCCAAGGCACGCTACGCCACTGGTTTATGTGTACACATTACTTTGTAACAAGAGGCAGCAATTAGTAAAACTGCTTTGTGCAGAATCAAAGACCTCCCTCCATATGTTATCCTTGTGTAGCAAGTGATGAACATATACCAGGAACAGCCTTGGGCTGAGTATGCTACCTTGAAGCAAACCAAATTTGACAGTCACTTATCTTATTTCAACTCTGCTGTCTTCCACTCAGATTACTTATATAATTGCAGATGTAAGTCTCTCACACCAATTTCTTCCAGCTTAGTTATTAGATTTGGGATCGGATCTGTGTCCTAAGGCCTTTGTTAAATCGAGGAATATCATTAATCATTTTTTTCTTTCATATAAGCTTATATATATGAAGGTAAATATGTAAGGTAAATTCTATATGTGAGTTTCTGGCTGGTTCGTTTTAAAAGTTTTCACGCATTAGTCGTTTCTCCGAGTACGCCTGATGTATTCATCCGCATTGCACGCATTCCGGATGACGTTGAGCATCCGGGTATCTTTCTCGATAAAGCCTGTCTGCGGCACTAGCGTTACATCCACATTCTCCGTAGATGAGGTGCATGTTTGCATATTCTTCAGATGAGTTAAGGTATGATGCGGATTACCCGAAGTGGCAAGTGGAAGTGGAAGAAAACACAAAACACTGGTATTTAGCGAGTGCAGAATTAGCATAACACAATATTCAGCTGTCACAATCACAGGTCCAGAAGAAAGCCAGATCAGTAAACAAACAAAAATAAAGTCCAATTTCACGAAGCCAAAATCGTTAGTACGGAAACGGGACCAACACAAAAACAAAAGATGCGCGTTAAACAAAGGAGTGTAGCGTACTGACGATCAAAAGACAAACAACCGCCAAAGCGTCACCATTTGTTTCAGTGATTCATATGAAATGGCATCTCTACCTGTCTCCTGAGCATCCTCCGCATGTCTACCTGTCTTTAAAAATGCATAAACTTGAAGAATAGTTTGCCGTTTAGCCATTTTAACCACTTTCGGCATTTTAAAACTAAAATTAAATAATTAAGAAGCAAAAGAGCACACAGATAGCAACCGATCAAGTTCAAAGCAAGATGACGGCAAAGGAAACAGTGCTACCAATCATTCACGCGTCAAGTTAAGATGAACGGACAATAGCGCTCGATTACTTCCAAAACAGATGTCGCCACATCTTAACACATACGCATTAAGCGACGGATGCCTGCAGCCGCATTATAAACATACGCAATGTTTCACATTACATTGTTTGGCAAGTTTCTCAAAGTCGCGTGCGTCGCGTATTACAGTAGAACAAAAGCAGCAATGGTAATTGTATAATACGAAAAGTAATAAATGAAAGTTTACAAAGGTAAATATCGTAGTACATTATTCATCTAGATGTAAATTAGTAATAAAAAAATAATTAGTAAATAATCAACTTACCGATGAAATGTTATGCCTTTGTTAGTTGAACTACACGTTCTTGATGAGTTTTTACAACTGATTATGCTGTAGTTCACGATTATAATAACATAAATTCACGTACGACGTTCCCCGCTTCGTCAACACATCACAGCGGCGACAAGGTCACGCGTCTATGCGACTTCTATTGTCTTATATTATTACGGTTTCCGTGGTTGGTATAGATCACCAGTATAATAATTACAGTATGAATGACATTCCATCTTAGTCTCGGAGGTGACAACGCACATATGGTCTTCGTAGGTAGTATAGTTGCCGATACGAGTGGTGAGCACAGATAAACTGTGGTGGGAGGTAGGTACACTGTCGGGCAAAAATATTGGATACCTTTATTATTTCAATCCGTAATTTAATATTTTCGGCGACTTTTATGAAAATGTTTACTCGAACACATCAACTTTTACTTTGATACAGTAATGTTGCAGATATTCATGTCCTTTATTTTATTATGTACTGTAAAGTATTTAATGTATACTTGGTGCTTAGAATTGATTATTTTATTAAGAAGAGGGAAGAGGTGATATGCCTTCCATAAAATCCGGTGTTGCGGTGCGCCGTACAGTAGCTACTAAGACATTAGTCGCCACAGCAGTCTGTTTATATGCGTCTATGATGTTTTTCGCAGTACCTAATTTTTTCATGTAACTAAACACTGAATAGAAAATTTGTCGGGATTGTCTATTTAACACCGAATTCTTCCTTCTCTGCATATTTAGACCAAAATCTGAACACTCAAATTATAACAACAAAAATAATTATAAACAAGAAATAACAAAAACAATTAATAACAAGGAATACACAAACAACAATTAACAACGAGCTGATAAAAACAATTAACGAAATTAAACTTATTAAAAAAGTTATTAAAATTATTGCTCTGAAGTGTACGAAAGCCGAATGAAACGTTCGAAACCAATAGACGACGAGAATCGACTGATGAACCAATCACGTTGAACGTCAGCGTGGTCAACGTCGTATCGACCAATAAAAAGTGTGCTCACGACTTATGTCGGCAGTTATACAGTATGTTTTTTTTAATGAAGAGTCAAAGTTAGGTGATCTCTTTTTTCAACTACGACTAATTGTCAATTATAACTGAACTATGTGATATGGATTTCTTTTCCCAGGGCTGTTTGACCCCATACAATTTTATGTATTACTGAACATTGGTTAAAAGCTCATAATTTAATGTTTAACTTCAGTAATCACCATGTGGTCAGTTCTCTCAATAGAGAAACGGTTTTAAGAGGTGGCTCCTTAATTTTAGTTAGGAAATTATTATCATGTAAAGAACGTAAAGATATTGTGAGCCTCTCTGTTGAGCCAACTGTAGAAATGGCATGTGTTGAGTTTGAGCACCTCATTGTTGTGAGCGTTTACAGACCCCCATGTTCTTTATATGATACTTTTGAAAAAAAATTTGGAGGAAGTTTTTGCTAAGCTTAATAAACAGAATAAATCTGTTGTAATATGTGGAGACTTTAATATCAATCTCCTAGAAGCTTCCTCCACCAATATTAAATTAAGATCATTGTTTAAATCTTATGGTCTTTTTAATTTATTTTTGGAGCCAACGCGTATTGCTGAAACTAGTGCAACATGTATAGATAAAATTTTTACAAATGTTAAGCCGTTCAATAAATGTATTATTCAAAAATTGAGCTCTGATCACTGTGGACAATTAGTTTCGTTACATTATGTTCACAAAAAGCAAGTAGATAAAAAAGCAGTGTTTGTTCCAGTAAATGCACATCGCTTGGAGAAGTTTAGAAGTAACATAGTAAAAAAACTTCCATCACTTTCATACCAAAATAATCCAGATTTTTTTGTATGTAACATTATTTAAGCTTATTTGCAATGAATTTAATAATACTTTTACTTCTAAAACATTTCCTTAACATCGCAAGACATTTAATGAATGGGCGACAGTAGGAGTCCATAAGGTAGACAAAGGTTATATGAACTTTACAATGAAAGGTCATATAATCCGAGCGTCGAATTTAGGGAATATGTAAAAAATATTCCAAAATATTTAAAAGAGTGTGCTCCTTAGCCAAGTCATTGTATTTGAGCAACAAAATAAAGACTGCTTCTAATAAAATTAAAATGACATGGAGTATAATTAATAGTGAAACTGGTAAGGTTAACTCTCGCAATTCGAACTATCCGTTAAGTTTTAACAATCCCTTCTCGCCCCGTGCTCGCTTGACGTTTAATTTCGGGACACATTGTATATAGGTATATTCCAAACATGGAAAAAACAATAAAGTTTATCATACATAAATTGACTCCCTGAAAAAATATTTTAAATAACCCCGCTTTACATTCCAGCCAAGCCACGGCACGAACGCGTTACTATATTCCCCCCGGCTTTCTGCTGGTGAAGAGCGCCTCACTTTGGACTTTGGCTGCAAACAGTTGGCCGAAGCTGACGAAGCTAAGAGCTTAAAGAGACCTCCCATTTTGGCACCTATTTTGCTGCCCGCTCACAAGTGAGTTCATATTTTAAATTTGTTGTTAACAAAACATAAAACAGCTTTCTACAACTGCAAATTTAGTAATAGATGAGGAAAAGCTTTTGAATTAACTCTAGTCAAGACACATTTTGCTAGTCACCAATTTAAAAAACAGGCTGGTTATTTATACAACGTAGTCAATAAAAAACTAAACATTTATTCACTGAACTCTAATGAGCTCAAAAAGACAGTCACAGAATAGATTCTCAAACGTAATTTACATTATTAAAAGTTAGTAAATAAACTTTACATACGAACACACACACATACACACACACACACACACGCACGCACGCGCGCACTCACACACACACACAAACACACACACACACACACACACACACACACACACACACACACATTCAAAACTCTCATTAAATAAATATAAGTTTAGTTTCTTGTATTTTTGTAATTAAAGTTACTTAGTTAATTATTTAAAATTAAAAAAATGTTATTCCTACTATAGAAGAGCGGGACATCCTGCCACAAATATATATTACTTAAAAGGATGTCTCTATTACTCCCATACCTTTATAACGTATGATATTTTTAAAGAAATAAACGATTTTTCTTTTTCATTTTTCAAAATAAATTACGATACAATGATTTTGGAATACGTCGTAGAGCCATCTCTCACGTTGTATCGTCACGCTTATTGTGATTGACGTAGTAGAGTTATGCTGCAGCTGTATTATGATAGTAGCACCAATAGATCAGCTCGATTGGGGAAGAACCACACTGTCACAGATTACCAGCGTGAAATACCCGATGTGTTTCGTATGGTGAATGTAGAGTACCGGAGACCTTTTCTACTGAAAGCGAGGCATTCTATCTTAGTACTCAGGGATGTGTTCCCAACATCTATATTTTGATTTTGAATCCAAGATGTAGGTGTCTATGGGCCACTGCATCCACTTACCGTCAAGTGCACTGTGTGCTTGTTTGTCACCCTTATTCTATAAAAAAGAAATATTGTGTTTGGAGTGGGTGGGAGATTTGGACTGCCTCGACGTGGTCGTAAATGTAATTGCTGACCATGAGGTGCTGGGTTCGAAACTGGTCGGATGAAAAGCTGTAAGTTAGATGAATCAGAAAGTTGGCGGTGTTTTGCCCCCGTGCCTCCGAAAGCAGGTAAAGCTGTTGGTCCTGGGGCTGATCTCTCTTCGTTCGTATCGGTTTACTGTCCCATTGGACTATGAGAATGAGGGAACAGAGTGCTGTCCTTCGCAGATGGCTTGTTTCCAGTTGTAACTGGCCTTTATGACCGAAATTCGGTCTGAATGACATTATAATTAAATTTTGACGTACATTACAGCTTTTTTTAATTCTTTCCATTATATTCTAAATTCTATCCAGTATGTAGTGATACCTGTTTCTCGACTTCATAGAGTCAGTAATTTATTCTTGGGGCAATGTATACGCTATTACAACAAAGTGCCAGAAAATATACAAGGTCTCTATTACAAAGTTTAAATATTTAGTTAAACAAAAACTATAATATAAAATACGTTATTATAATCTAAATGCATACATGGTTGATAAATAACCCATGGGAATGAGATGCTCGCTTCCAAGCTGTTTCTAAAATAAGTTTTGTAAATATTTTGTTACCATTGACATTGTAAAATTATTATTTTTTTAAGTCCCGCTGGGTTTCTTGCTGGTTCTTCCCAGGAAAGAGGTTTTTTTTTCGAACCAGTGGTAAAGTAAAAAATTACTTTCAATAAAAATTACAACATGTAATCTATATTAATAAAAATATTCTATTCTATTCTACTTCCAATTAAACAATATAAAGATAAATAATGGAATAAAACAAAAAGCTAATCGTCGACTACTATAACTGTGTATGATACTGTGAAACGATTTGTGAAATAAGAATGGAAGGGGAAATGATCGAGCAAGTAGATGAGTTTGTATATTTGGGCTGCGTATTTAGCAGGGATGGGAGATATGATAAGGATATAGAACGACGAGTGAATGCGGGAAATAGAGTAAATGGGGCCTTGCACTCTATTGTGAAGAGTCAAAATGTGTCGAAAAAGGCACGTATGGCAATTCACAATGCTGTGTTGGTCCCTACTTTAACGTATGGTAGTGAAAGTTGGGTGTGGCAGAAGAAGCACGAGAATAGAATAAACGTAGTAGAAATGCGGTCGTTAAGGAGTATGTTAGGGGTGAATCTGAATGACAGGGTAAGAAATTGTGTAATAAGAGAAGAGTGTGGTTTGCAAGATGATGTGACAGGATTAAGAAAGGAATGCTTCGGTGGTTTGGTCATGTGAAAAGAATGAATGAGGAAAGAGTGACAAAGAAAATTTATGGTGCAGAAGTGAATGGCAGAGTCGGAAAGGGGCGTCCTAGGCGAAAATTGTATCGACCAAATTGGCGATTTATTGAAAACGGGCCAAATTAGGAATACCCTTAACCGACGAGCATGTATGCGTAGGTGTATGATGTGAAGGAAGGCAAGAGAGGTGTGTCAGGATCGTGCCAAATGGAAGTCTGTAGTCTCTGCCTACCCCTCTGGGTGACAGGCGTGAGTGTTTATGTTATGTATGATACTATCTGATGACATATAATAATTGTTTTCATTTTAGATTTCGTAAGATTCTGCCTTGTGCCTTCACGCCGAACGAGACGCAAGTGGCCAAAGAAACAAGAAAACCACCCAGTAGACAGAAAGCCCCACCACAGGCCCTAACGGTTTGTATCATGACCATCTTGCATTATCTTAGGTAGTGCAGTTCCAAAAGATTCTACTTCCCGAGACACTTTTATTTTATAAAACTTCAGGATTAAGTCTTTTGGAATCATGTACTATCTCTTTTCAACTCATCTCAAATTACAGATAAATTATTAGGTTAGTGATATTATGAAGAAAATAATTATTTTTAATATATTTGTAACTGTCTCCCTAAGGGTCGATTTTTCAATAGTCAGATAAAAGTTATCCATCAAATAAATTATAACCTGACTAAATATAAAAGTCAATTGAACTATTTTAATCACACAACTGTAATCTTTCAATTGTTTATGGGTAAACTTATAATTTTACTTAGGTGGACGATAATTAGACACTAGCTCTCTCATGTAAGTATTAAATAGAACAAATATAATTTATAATTGCTGTACAATAATGATTGCCTTTACACCACTTTATGGTATCAACGCGTTCGATAGTTAAAACAAAAGTGTATCTCCTGGACTTAGGGAAAAAATAATGATATATCGATATTTTCTCATAAACTCATCAATATTTACTGACAATATTTTTGTTGGTGATATACCAATATTCAATATTTATTTTGGAGAATTCGCTTGGGTAAAAAATATCCATATTTCGATATTTTCTCACGAACTCATCAATATTTACTGACGTTATTTTTGTTGGTGATATACCAATATTCTGCATTTATTTTGGAGAATTCGTGTGGGTAAAAAATATCGATATATTGATATTTTCTCACAAACTCATCAATATTTACTGACGTTATTTTTGTTGGTGATATACCAATATTCTACATTTATTTTTGGAGAATTCGCGTGGGTAAAAATATCCATATATTGATATTTTCTCACGAACTCATCAATATTTACTGACGTTATTTTTGTTGGTGATATACCAATATTCTACATTTATTTTGGAGAATTCGTGTGGGTAAAAAATATCGATATATTGATATTTTCTCACAAACTCATCAATATTTACTGACGTTATTTTTGTTGGTGATATACCAATATTCTACATTTATTTTGGAGAATTCGTGTGGGTAAAAAATATCGATATATTGATATTTTCTCACAAACTCATCAATATTTACTGACGATATTTTTGTTGGTGATATATCAATATTCAATATTTATTTTGGAGAATTCGTATCAATTTCGATATATTTTATAACACTACTATAGTTTCGTAACATAAATAATCGTTTCCTTGCATAAAAAACTCCCAACAATCTTCATGAAGTGCAATATCACCAACAAACAAAACAAAAGCAGTCATTTGTTGACAAGGCTTATTTTCGTTGTGTACAAGGCTTTTTTGTAGTCGAAGGCGATCCTTAATAAAATTTTGGCCACTCATCCTACTACATCATGCAAAACATGACGATATATCGATATTTATCACGTGATAGTTAATGATTATCGATGCTGTAAATATATAAATATCGATATGTTTTTTCACTCTGCATCTCTAGTTTCTCCCCGGTTCATTTCATGCTGCCACAGAGTCAGCAACTTCACTCGCATAACGTGTTATTGCTAACATTTAAATCGTCACACTATTGCCGCGATCTTGTCAACAAATATAGTATTTTATTTTATGAATAACTTATCTGAGGAAAGTAAAATCGGCCCTTAGTTTTAAAATTTCTGAAACATTAAAAGCACCATTCAATTAAATTATTATGCAATCTTAGATACAAATATGTATTGTGAATTTAATATTTTGTCAGAAATTAGCCAAAATGACGGACAAGCCACCTCAATTTAGTTAAGCCAATATGATAGGCCATATTGAACCTGGCTTTGACTTTTACCAAGATTAATAATTATAAAAGTTTAGAGAATGAATAATGGTGGTTCAATTATGAGTGGATATTTTTTAAACATGCAGGTTTTCTTTACTCCTATTACAATCATGAGTGTATTTTTTGTATATATAATTTTTATTAATGTGGTTATTAAACATGCTGCAGAGTAAACTTTTATCGAAGAAATGATATATTTTGTTTATGGATGTAGCTACAATACTTGAATATTATTATTATTTTTTGACTAAATATCAATAGGTTAACCATTTATATAACAGGAAATCGATGTTTTAAATTTAAAACCTATTTTATTGGGTATAATTTTCATAATTGAAATTGAAGCTACATTCATGTATTTTCTATCTTAGCGAATTTGTGATACAGTTATATTTATTTGCTTACTTCACAACTACAGACAGGTCTACAATAAAACATAAGAATATTATTTACCAATGTTAAAGACCGTAGATTTTTAAGCTGTAATTATTAATTGGATATTAAAGTAGTATATTAAGATTTAGTATTAAATGCACTACGAGTATTTAACTATAGCATGCCTTATAATTTATTTATATTAAATACTAGATGTGCAGAATTCCTTCATTGATATGTAATATACGATCTCCCCTGTAAATATATTTAAATATATACGGGCTTATTTTGCAATAACCGGCCGGATTTGCAGAGAAGGTTTATAATAAGTAATATAGGCAAATTGTAAATAAAAATTAATTAAGAAATCTCTACATCTGTCCTTTTATCTTTTAAATTCAAAATGCATTACTTTATTGCGCACGCACACATTCGGAAGGGTCGATCGGTATGCAAAAACGTTGTTGCTCATAAATTAAATTCGATTTGGAATAATTTCAAATAAAAGCAGAAGTCTTATTTTCTCGCATTTTCAAAAACTACCATAACTGTATATCATCATTTATATATTTGAACTTAAGTTTAAAATTTGACTACTCTGAAATATAACCTTGTAAAAACCCTAGGTATCTGTAAGAAAAGTTCGTATCTTCTTCTTTTAATTGATGACAGTCTTGTAATAACAAAATTCTGCCAATGTCAAGTTAAACATGGAAGTGACATATTACAATATGGTTCTAAAATTTAATACCAGACTGTTCTTTGAGATGCTTGCAACACAGAGTCTGGTCCATAATTTAAACGGGGAAGATAAACTCAGACAGAATAAAAGCGAAACACGTACGACGCACGAGTGATGAGATCGTACTAAATAATTTCGAAATTTCTAGAGATATGTGAAAAGTTGGGGTTACAATAGAGAAGAACTTATTTTTGTATACAAAAGTTCTAAATTTACATAAAAAGCTTACCATCAGGTGGACTGTGTGCTCTTTTGTTATCCTTATTATTTAAAAACATTATTTTTAAATAATTAGAATCTAATTTAATTTAAAACGGAACACGACCAAGATTTGAGACAATACTATTAGTTGCAAATTCAAATTGATTTACCTTTTTTATTCCTTTACTGGTGTTTGTATTATGGGGGTTCATGTTACATGGGCAAACTCAACACTAATAGATATTTTTTTCATTTCACACAATTTCTCAATATTGGTAGTAATATTCTTATGTAGTAGATCATAAATATAATAAAATAAACATATTTAAAAATTTGTGTTTTTATGTCTGTCAAAACTGTATGTATGTATGTTCGTTTAGTAGGCTCCGTGCGGACCGAGCAACGGGCTAAGTTTGTTCTGTCTGGTTTTGTTTGTATTCGAACAGTGACCAAAGACATGAGAGCAGTTCTAGGAAATGCAAAATTGTCCGACAAGGAAATGACGTGTCAACTGTACTCTTTTTGTTGCCGTTAACTTTATTCGTTATACCTACCTGAAACTACTGTTTATTACGTGCTTTACTAATTTGTCTTAAACTATTTTTTTTAATTTACCGACTGATGTCGTAAGAAGTATACTATAGGAAATGCCAGCAAAATATTTATGCTCTACGTTAGATGGCGGTCTAACCAACTCGTTTACGCCAGACGTAAAATCTCGAGAACGGCGACAGGCAGCAGTGTTAAAGGTGGGTCGGCCGAGCGTGAACATTTATACCGGACTTCTATATTTAAAAATGTTTTGTTTTCTTTTACGAGCAGTTTTTACATTAAACGAGGAGCATGTAAATTCTTTTTTCTTTAAACGATCACATATGAACCGTTTAGTTACTTTTGATTTTAAGTCATTCTAAATTGCTGAATAAATAGTTTTTATTACAAACTGTTTTTACATACACCTCTTATGTAATCAAACTGATCGTTATGGAGAACCAAACGTTTCTTGAATAAAGGAATCGGGCATTAGGCTGGGAAGAGCTTCTCTACAACAGGAGTGGTCCAGCAAGATTATGCCGCAAGTTGAAGACAGTAATTAGAAACAATATTCATTATATATATGCAAAGTAAATGGCGACAATGAGAGTACAGCTTAATCTAACAATAACTTTAATGGCAATTTTCTCTTGTGTACATAAAGCACAAAGTGTTTGTCTATTAATGTTTCATGTGTGCGTGTTGTTTGGTTGTTAGTTGGAAGCGGATGCAGAAAGCCACGGGAAAGTTAAGGTACCGCCGCTTGGGATTACGCGTTCTATCGCGAACCGTTTTAGGGCTATTACACGTGAATCTTGGACCCAGCGTAAAGTATTACGTTGTTAAGCCTCCACCTTGGACATTAAAACTCATTACGTACAAACTGTCCACAATTTCTAGTTAATTAAGCCAAAAAATAATTAATAATTTTATCTATGGTCACATGACAAAGGTTTTTTTAAACATATTTAATAAGATGAAAACGCCCAACAGATTTAGTTATTGTATCTTTGGTAATTTCTGTGTTTTTTATTTGTAAGAAATATAACTTTTCAATATTTTTGCCTCCTATGTCACAAGGTGAAGTCTTAACATACAGACATGCACCATATAAAGAAGAACTCATTCAGCTAAAACTGTTCAAAAATAAAATACTGAATACCATTGTTTTAATAAAGTAGGTGAGTTAAATTTTGAATATAGACTAATAGACTGTCATAAGCAGTATTGCTTCATCTATTGACAGTTATTATAAAAAATAAAAATATCGTGGAGATAAAGAATGGTATTAGAAACAGCGTCGTCTCTATTCACCA